AACCAAAATTATAGTTAGACTACTACTATATTATACAAACATACTAGGTATTTCTACTCCCTTTATGTTTATCCAAACATTTTCACACTGTTCTTGTAGGTTCAAGAAGTTTGGTCAAGGATGTGGCTAAGTTTCTTTCACCCTATTTACCTTTGTTCCAGGTCATTCGCCTATGATATTACGTGCACTTTCTAGCAGGAAAAACTGTTGTAAAGTAGAAAATATATACTATATGAAAGTGAACAGCGATCTTTTCCACTGACAGGTCGGGTAATATCTTGAGGATACATTATTTTTCTATCGGAACGAACAACAGTGACGTATGTAATGCGTGCATCCTGAGAAAAATATCATTATGAAACTGCGTATAATGTTCAGTCTGTAACATATCTAAACGTAAACTAATTTCTTCACAAAGATCTATGAAAGACACACTACATGCTATTCTGTGAATTTGGGGTCAGCCATGAAGAATACCTGGTCTAGTACCACACAAAAAGACAACAACAGTTTCTCAAAACTTATAAGATCAGGATATTTGATCATAAGCCGTTTATGATTTATGATACGACATCTTGATTTTTGAGAAACTGTTGTTGTTTTTTCCCCTCTTATTTACATATTAGAGTTAGTAGGTTAGTATCGATTGTTTGTTTGTAGTTATGTACAAAGCTACACAATGGGCTATCTGTGCTCTGCCCATCACGGGTATCGAAACCCGGTTTCTAGCGTTGTAAGTCTGTAGATATACCGCTGTGCCACTGGGGGCGGTAGTATCAAGCTTTTTAAATTTTCGCAAGTCATTAAAACTGGACGCTAGATTATTAGCTCTATTCGTTAAAAAATATTTACATTATGGTTTATAAGTACTTATACTTATGCTAGTTCCTTCTCAATATTTTCCAGTCTTCATTTTCTAAAATATCATTCAGATTTTACTTCATTTGTACCTGTATGTATAAAAGTATTCTATGTTCGAAGATGACTGAATAAGTGTATATGAAATATTTGATTGTGTAAATAAAATGGTTTTCGTTCTTCGTTTTCATTGAAAATGTTGTTTCTTTTAAACAAGTACTGTATGTCAAGTTATATATTTCACACAGCTCTAGACACATTTAAAAATAATATTACAATGTAAATATAATATAACGAATATTTATTGCATATTATAATTTATTTGTTTCCTAATTCATTTATCAAAGAAGTTGGAACCCAGCATGGTCTACACTATGTTCCAGTCTATTTACTATTTATTCAAAATGTATTTAATTTTAAAATATCATAAAATGAAAATTCTCCCATCGCTAATATAAAGTATTCCGTAAAACGCTTACCAGGTGACACTATGCATTTGGTTCAATTTCATTGGTTAAGATAGGCAGTTACGTGCTCTCGGTGGCTGGTTTGAAAATTGGATATTGCATCGTGTAAGTTGTAGGCTTGACTTATACATTATAGTTTGTACATAGTTTTTACTGTTAGGCTAAAGAGTATTATCGAAGTAACAAATTGTTAGTATCTAACAAAATATACGGTATGTATAATACAGAAGTTATTTTTTCCTTTCAACATTTCTTTATTCTACTTTCTAGTACTTTATATGCTTAGTTAAAATTAAAATAAACTTTTGACTTTTTTTTTTTAAAACAAAATGAAAAAACGTATACCATGAAAAATGACTAGTGCGAAATAGATCATTACTTGACATTAGATGTTTTAATATTCACAACGTGTTGGGCTGGGACGCTCTTTCTCTGGTGACTTAAAACATTTATAAAAAAAATTATAGGTGTGTTAATATTCATAACGTTTAAATTCACCAGAGGAAGGGCGTCCCAGCCCGAAACGTTGTGAATATTAAAACATACATTTCGCCTTAGACTAAAGACAAAGTTTAGACTTTACGTCTTTAGTTATTTTTCGTGGCAGAAGTTTTTTTTCGATTCCATCTTACCAGAGCGGGTTTTTTATTGATTTTACTTTTTTTTTAGTTGTATTGGCGATTGAGTCACAATAAAAACAACTTGGGTACTATTACTACTAGTATTAGATTAGTAATAGTATTACTAATATGTGTAATATAGCTTATTTAAGGCAATAAACTCTGAGAAGTAATTCGAGCTTGCTGTAGAAAAATCGCTAGCAGAAGTGTTGGTTGAACTAGTTAGGCACGGCCTAGGCTAAAATTAAAACCGCGTATTTCAGATTTACATTGGTCAGACACTTAGTGTGGTGCTTCAAATTCAGTTCAAGTGTCGGTGAACTAAGTCTAAACCTGAGTTATTAATATGAGTAAATACAAATAAAGCAAGTTTACAGATTTGTTTCATGAGGCACTACCGTTTTTTTTTCACAGCTATAGTAAACATTGATTTATAAAGACGATAATTTCATTCATTATATTTATACTATAGCCTACTAACACTGTAACCTGTAGTTGTAAGTGTAACACTAACAGCAACAGCATGGCTAGTACTATACATTATACTGTAAATGTAATTTGTAAAGGCTGTGGTTCAATCAAAATTGAATTTGGATAGCCCAAACATGAGTTATAATTTACATACAAAATTGATAAATTTACATCATCCAAACTGAGTTATGAGCTTGAGGTACATTTTCTTTGTCTAGATAAGTGATTCTATTTTAATTTCCACTTTTTATAGTCTGTTTATGCTATTTTCAACCCCTCTAAAAAAAGTAAACCTTTTAAATTTAATGAAATTTCTGAAACAACTTTTAATTTTATATTACTTGCTTTGCACAATATCAAAAGACAATATCTTTACATTAGTAGTTGCTCCCCAGGGAATAGGGTTATTACTAAATGTTCCAGTAAAACTGGGATTGTACCAGTTTAAATACTTCCTTCTTTCAGCTTCATCCCAGCAAAAATACCTTATTGTTAAAAAAAAACTATTGAGAAAAATGAATTTTTTAAGTTTCTTAATGTTTTCATTTTTATATATCAAACTAACATTAGCCTAAATACAGATCTGATATGAAGACTATTAGTAAGTCAGTTTAAATCTTACACACTGAGTTCTGTGTAATCTAAGCATGCTATGAATTTGCATACAGAAACAATATGATATTAGAAATTAAAGTTAAATCAAACTAGCTGACTTTCTACAAAATGGTGACATTACATATTATTGGAAGGATTTCCATGTTCTGGTATAAAACTTCATGTATTTATTAACAAGAATGTAAGATCTTTTCCAAGAGGTTTATTTTGTGTATGTATATGTGTTAAAATGTTAATCTGATAGTTATAAGAATTATGTACCAAAAAATTATACAGGCCTGCAAATTTAAACTACATAAAAGTTGATTTGGTTTTAATAACTGATTTTTCCATAATTCAGCTATGCAGACTTTGAAAATAATATTCATTTTTTCTCTCGCGTATTGATTTTTTAAAAATTGGGGAAAGAAACAACTCTTAGATCAAATTATCATTTTGTTTTCCATGATGAACATTTTTTATTATTATGTTTGTAAAAAAAAATACAAACAAACTCAAGAAAAGGGAAGGACATGCAAACGAATATGCATCCCAATTTTTTTTTATGAAATCTGTCTTTTAGTTTCCAAACTACATGTTGTGGTCATTCTTTTATGAATTGCATTATAACGTTTTGTGAAAAATCTGTACATGATGGAGAAAAATTGATATAATTTTCGGATTCATCGTATACAGGAATTACTGTAGAGCATGTAAAAATTTCAAGACAAACCATTGCAGGCCTGTGTTAATATAACAAGCATGCACTTGGTATATTTTTAGAGAGGTAAATTCAGACTGTTTTTAAAATTAAGTAATATAACTTATAATAACAAAATGGCAAGAAGTTTCATAAAAATAATTTAATTTTAACAAAATTACAGTATTTTTATATTGTACTTTTGGTACTTAAAATTCATTAATATGCTTGTAGATATCGAAAAATTGCAGAGAAAGGAAGGTTTGCTTATGAGCATTATTCAAATCAGGTAAGTTGGCTAATTTGCATAATCCCCTACTCATCGTAATAGTGCTGTACTAGCTCTTGCACTTACTAATAAACCACACTCATTGAGTGAATGAATGGTATAGTGGAACTGAACACTTTTTTCACAATATTATCTGGCAATGTCTTGTTTGAAAACAAACAAACTGGATTTGGTTTTGTTAGTTTAAGGTATGTGGTGGGTCTTACTTGGGCAAAATTTGTTTTTCAAATAATACAAGTATGTAACTTCATAACATAAGATCAACAAGAGGTTGGTTATCTTGTTCATTTTCCCGTGTTTTATTTGATAAGCTACTGAAACCAGTTACATCTAGTGCTGTTCTAATTGCTTAGACTTTCTGGAAATTAGGACCCTATAAAATCCCCCCCCCCCCAAAATATTAATTAAATATATATAATTGTCTAGTTTTATTTTACATTGTAATAATTTTAAGAAATTTTTTTGTAATTAAAAATATCTAGTTTTAATTGGTGTAATGAACAATTTCTACGTTATTTTATAACTTTTACTATGAATAATAAGTAAGTAACACTTTTGAAAACATCTGTCATTTCTACCTATCTCACTTGTTTGGACATGTTATATTTAAAAAAAAAATAAGCACTCCAGAAACATGGATAATTTTAAACATCCAACCTTTAATAATAACCAGTAAAACAAGATTAAAGTTACTAAATTTATTGTTGTAAATGTACCTCTAATACTTAGGACACCTGAAATTATCTATCAGTCTCAACAAAGAAAGCTTAGTTATATGAACTGTTAATCATTTCAAAAATATGCATTTTTACACATTTTTCTGTAATACTTCTTCAAAAACACTACAGGGTTTAGTAATATTTTCTTTATTGGAAGTGCAAGATTTATAATAAAATGCATACTTTTTTAACATTTTATTTAATATTTACCAGAATATGTGTTTTAAGAATCATTTTGATGTATTGTGTTTTGATCATATATCTTATTTCTTCAACCAAAAAGTACATTAGAAAATCAGAAACACTGGGATAGCATATTCACAGCTAGTAGTGGGGGTCACTTCTGAATTAGCAAAGAGGTCCCATGGTCACAGTTGGAATGAAGGTGCCACTGTCGTAGTACTTTTTTAATGTAGTGTTTATAGAAACATATAAGAGGAAAATTATTTTTTCACGGTCAGTGTTAAAACATTCACATTTTTATGTTTTGTTTTTATAGTAAATCATGACAACAGTTGAGGATTATACAAAGATTGAAAAAATAGGTGAAGGTAAGTGGTCTAGCATTATTTATTCGATATCTAAAATGAATTTTTTTCTTTCCATGTTAGTTCATCTGGTTTGATATAGATCTTTTATTTTTAGAAATGAAGTTGGTACTGGTTCAATATATGGATTTATTTCCAAAGCAAAAATAATCTGTCTTGATATACATGTTTGTTTAAATAATTTCAATTAACTTTGTATAATGAGTTCCATATTCAATCCAGATATGCTGTAGTATTCTCAGGTGAATTGAACGTACTTTATAAAACTTTATCAGGTAAGTCCACCAAACAGGAGATTCAGTCAGTACATGGAGGTATGGAATATTACTAAAACACGTACTAACTGAGAGACTATGGTAAATGAAATAAAAAGTATGGACAAAAAATAACAAAATTAACAGGTTAATGAAACACTCGTGTATGCATACCTGTTTGACTACGGACGGTTGCATCTCTACCACGTCAGAACTAATGGACAGGCAGGCTTGGATTGGTCTTGGACCCAGACTTCAGAAAGAATTTAGTAAAATTAACTCAACAAAAGGTTTCTAACTTAAATTGAAACCATGCATTTACCTAGCATGACTGAGCTACCACGTGACTGGTCATTTCTAATTTCACGTAGGTGGGGGCCAAAAAACCGGTATATATAACCTGCACAACCATTTATGGAAAATATCCTGAATCAAATTCACTGTGAAAAATATTCTCGCGATGGGTAACACGTATTATCAACATTGAAAATGACAAAGGAACAAATAACTTGAAAAAAGATAAATTGTATGGTTTTCTTGACCACATGTTATGTGAAAACCTACACATATTCAGACTACGTATAAGTTCAAAATAAATGTTAATACTATAGAGAGAAAGTTATGGTATATTCCTCAACCACATTGCTAGGGAAAAAGTTAATGAGATGTTGATGCAAGAGGAAATAGGTTAGTGTGTTTCTACTGGTTGTAATTTGTTTTTATTGTTGGGTGAATTCTTTTGGATTATTTGGCAAAAAGAATACTGTAATGATATGGTTTTATTTCTTCAGTTTTAAGCTGTGTTTGAAGTTTAGCAGTTGTCGTCATTTATGAACACCATCCACTAACATGACTTACAATACCTCTACTGAATTGGTTAATTATAGTGAAAAAAAAACAATTGTCTGTCAGTTTATGTTGATAACATTTTCATTACCTCCTGTCATTTAATAAAATAATAATTTTTATTTATCTAAATCAATATTCCACTAAATATAGATGCTTTTTTTAATTACCATAATTTTTAGTAACGATGAAACAAAAGATACCAAATGTATTATCTATTAATATATTTTTCTGTTTTTTATTAACAATACAGACAAGTTCATTGTAAAATTCTATGAAACTAACAACCTTACAATTATAGGGACTTACGGAGTTGTATATAAAGGTAAGAACAAGAAAACTGGACAACTAGTTGCATTGAAGAAAATAAGACTTGAGAGTGAGGATGAAGGAGTTCCTTCAACAGCTATTAGGGAAATTTCCTTGCTGAAAGAATTAAAGCACCCAAATATTGTTTGGTGAGTTTGTCTGTTAGTATGTTATGTTTTTATGGAGAGGTCTCTCTTGAAATCATTTTTCATGAATGTATGTAAAAACTTGTGGAATTTCTCAGAAACGTGTTATGTTTTATAGAAGACATATTTTACTGTATTTGAAACATTCTATTTCAAATTGAATAGAGTTGTTTAAACATTTGTTTAACAACAAGTAAAAGCTTGGAATGGTCTTTTCTTTCATTGGAGGTGTGTCTGAGCGCCAGACTAGTTTCGGAGAAAACAACTTTGCATCAGTGACCCTGGACACTACCACCAATGAAAT